CACATTCACCAACCATCAACACCACGAGACTGATCACCAGCACCATCATTAAACGGACTGCTAACAGAGTGCTGAGATTGAAAAGCGATTAAAAAGCTGACTACGCTGATTAACTTTCATGGTGAAATGAGACTGAGTACCTAGCCACCGATGTCTTCTAGTCTATAAAACCCTCCAAGAATTAGTGGACATACTATTGCCCAGATACTCGACTTTCCCCTGCGATTAAGATGGATGCCCCTAATAGCACGCCAGACCAGGAAAGAGAAGGAGAACAACAGCCCAGTGCATTGCCAATCGTTTCTGAAAAAGAGAATTCGCAGGAGGCTTCTGATCATGTCCCTCCACTGGTAAGTAAAGCGACTCAGCTTCCAATGCTCTTGCTGACCGTCGCAGCTCTCTCCCTCGCAACAGGAAGCAGAAACAAGACATGCCTTGGCGACTGAGCCCTTTCAACCTATTTTGAAGGCGCTAGCAGACCTCGAACGCGACGATCCCAAGTCCGCCTTTCCAGCAGGTCGAATTGTCGGACTGTATCGACGCCTATGGGAGTCGTGCGTGTCCAAACACATCGATGGCCAGAACCTAGACCAGAGCAATCAAATCTTGAAGGAAGCTAGCACACACCTGACTCAAGAAAGGGACGGACTTCAGCTGCGCCACGACAAGCAGCTGTCTCGGCTGCGCTTCTTTGAGCAGGCACTGGAATCATCTCGGGGTCGATTGACTAGGATCCTCGATGGCTGGGATCACCCTTGCAGACTCAATCTACCAGGGTTCTTGGACAACGCAAGAGAAGAGTGAAGCATTGCACATTTATATCTGTCCTATGTCTTACTTTAACAACTTGGAGATAATACGACAGAGCCGCAATTGAAAAAGAATTACCGCATGGAAGCATTCTATATTTGGCACGTATTTACAGAAGAAGGGCATGAATAGCCGTCGAGGAATGCGGTAAAGGCTCCATACTAGGCGATAGGGTCATGCGGAAGCTAATGGCTATTTCACCAATCCTATGTCGGGCGACTGTGTCTAGCAACTGCCTGCCTGCGTACCCGACACAGATTCCCCAGGGCCGTTTCAACCCAGGGAAACAAAGAATATATGCTCTCCTATATTCTCGCCAGATGTCGAACCAAACCGAGCTAGTCGACGCTCTATCTATTGCACCTCTTCGGGAAAAAAAAGCGAACGCTGACATGTAGAAATTATTGCTAGCCTGAGTAGAAATGAACGGAGAATCTGGACCCGTCCACTTGAAGCCGGAGAGATTGTCGTCATTGGGTTTAAAAAACATTCATTCAAGGGAGACCCCCGGCGCCATATTCTGCAGGCTCGGTTTCATCCTAGATAATATGTCGCGGATCCAGATCCGTGGCAAGACATGAGGGCGTTGTCGATATACCAGAAGACTTCTGCCAGATAGCCTGAAGGTCAAGATCGAAATCACAGTCACTAATTTTAGCACAAAACATGCATTGAAGAAACATGTACGGACAATACTCGCTCATTTCGTCCATTTCAATTCAGGATCTGCTGGTGGGAAATTACAGAAGTGTATAAAGTAGCATTTAACGGGTTGGGAGGGACAAGATGCCGCAAGCTGAGCAGAGATCTTATTTATCTTCAATTATAGAAGACCAGGGCACGTTAGGAGGGCTTTACGGCCAGATCCTAAGGCCTCGAAAACCAAGCGCTTGAAATATCAACAGCTGTGGAACGTTGACACTTCGTCACAGAACCCGATTAATTTCATCCGCAATTGCATTCGCATTCTCTATAATCAGCGAAAATAACTGGTAGAGAGCACCAATACATAGCAGAAATATCCAAACGTGTCCTTATCCATGAGCCCCAAACAAAACTGAGACCTTATCAATTCCCATCAACGTGATAGGCTTGAGGATCGCTCGCTTGCAAGGCTGAAATCACACCGTTACAAAGGGCCTGAACTGCTCGTTTCCGATCCCACAATACCAATTTCTGTTCCTCGCAAAGCTGCAGAAGGATGTCACTGTCGCTTGCTAGCCACTCATTCAACTCTTGAAGCTGTCGCTGCTCATCCTCAAGTCGCATCTTCTCGGCAGATTTGACCACGTAGCGTTCCCATAGGCAAAAGTACAAGTCGAGCAGCTTGAGGGCTGGCGTAGCGAGGGTGTCATTGTATTGTAGAACTTTCATAAACTCCGCCGTCAGGGCACCGGGTGTCACTGGGATCTGCAGAGTATTAGTGTTTCTGTTCATTTCCTGCCGGAGAGGTATGACTGACCTTGGGTTCGACGATTGTGCCCTTTGAAGATTCTTGTGCGTGGTTTTCCAACTTCGACTCATCTTCTCCATCTTGGGATACCAGACGCTGTCTCTTGGCTGGCCGATCAGTTGGAGAAGGCGAAGTGGGATGGTCCATCGTGGCTGTAGAAATGAAATGCAGGAAAAATTCTGCTCGAGAGCCTTTTATAACCGGCAAAGTCACACCAAGGCTGCTGTGATTGCACTCGTATCCCCTCGGGTCTGGTTTTCAACAGCGTTGAATAGTTCAGTAGACAGTTACTCAACTGTTGATGCTCGATCTCACCTGTTGTTCACCCAAATACTCAGTTATATGAAGAATTGGGCGACAAGTGAAGCCTTACAACACACATTGCAGATGATATCCCTAATGGTGGCCTGCAAGTGTATTCCTGATGCATTCGATCCTAGATCGAGTAGAGTTCGTTGAAGTTAATTGTGACGTTATTGTGACTGCGAACCATCTGAACGACGGTGATGCAGATTTCGATTTCAGATAGTGCTTCATATCACGAGAGTTACCTAAATTAAATATCACTCGCTTTTACAGACCACGGCCCATGTGTCTCCCTGGCAACGGCACCAAAATCGTTTGACCGGAGTTATCGTCTTCTATCAAGTTCCCAATGATCCTTCGGATGTAATAGTCACTTCCCAACTCTGAAGATCTCCTCAAACTACCATTTTGTCAGTCTTCTACACACTACAAGCGCAAATACAATTGGGACTTATCAAAAAAATGTTAACTTCTTGTTTCCCAAAGCTTAAGCAAAAGCTTCAAAATTCATTCAAAGTCTTTTCTCCCAGCCGATCAAAATATCTCCCAGATATCCCTGCCACCGCTTCTGAATCCGAACGCAGGCGGCGATCAGCTGCCCCATCCCCAGAGGTGTCCCCAACAAACATAAAAAACCATGAAAAAGAAACAACAGACACCTCGATTGACTTGCAATCCATCACCACAGAGCGTCACAAAACAGAGTCAAGCTCAACTCATCATCTGACTCAGATCCCGCGAGGAGAGTAGCAGGCTGGGCGGGTAAGTTGTGAAAAAGCAAAAGCTTTCGGGTGGCCACTTCCGTGGGAAACATGTGACAGTTGCCAGAGAACGTCAATCAACTTTCTTTATCGGAGAACACCGTACTTATCACTGGAGGCATGTAACGGATACAGCTCAACTGAAGGGGTTTCTCGTCTTGAGAAGATCCGGACGACGAATTTTCACGGCTCCGGCCAACCTAAGCACCGCTCGATTTGCCTCCTCGGGCAGTCTTTCCTTGTTTTTGAGAAGGCCTCATTGGGGAACACGGCCATGTCAACGCTGTAGGGCATGCTGCTTGGCCACGCATGTACCAATAGGGGCGAATCATGAATTTCCGATTGACCCATGACATCTTTGGCTTGATCCAGGCGAGCATCTAACAAACGCAAAATTTGGTCGGCCCACACCTTTCGTCGAGAGCTATGGCGTCTGCACTCAAAACAAAAAAGTTGCTTTGCAGCCAAAGATAATCTTTGCGCTAAAGGATATGCGAAAGAAGAGTTATGGGAGAGCTGAAAGCACAATACTCCATTTATCCGGGAATCAATCGGCACGGTGTTTTGACAGTGATCCCATATGCACCGCTCACGGTGCAGGGGATCGCCCAATGCTTGGTCCAATACCCGTTGGAGATGAGTAGGATTCCAGGCCATGATGAGGAATAGCTGTAAATGCCTCGGGGTGGTTGTGAGATCTGGGGTGTAATCTTCCGTTTGGAGAGTTCTATTCTCGAGTGGTATCTGTGATCAAGTAGGAAGAGTGCAATATATAGAGATGCTTGAGAAAGCACGTAGTGGGACTTTATTCTCGCTGGGCCCTTACATGCCTGAGCATGAAGTCTGGGCTTATTTGGCGACCGAAATTTCTCGTCCCATTCCTGGAAAGACGGTGTTAATTCCTGGGAGCTCTAGTCGCATTGTTCAAGGTTATACATGAAGCATACTCGATGCGTGGAGAAATGATATGCGGGACATGCATCCTGGCTCCCTTGAACGCGAGGAAGCAGAAGCGGCTTTCTCGCGCTACGTCTTGTACTTAGATTCAACTATAGTTGTTCTTAATATTGATTATTCACCTCGAGACAATAGCAGCCTCTATGTATACGTGAGACTTTCACACCCGAACCAAAAGCTATTGGAAGTATCGCTTCATTTCCAGAACGAAACCGAGTCCCAATATAGTTCTAACGCGCTGGTACCTTGTCTGGGGTTTCAGCTAAGTGCAACGTTGTTGAGTGTGAAGACACCCAACTTTGGGGTCGGCGGGATAATCTTTGACAAATCCTCTTGTCGGTTTTGATTGGACTCTGGGAATTAATGCATTGGCCCTGGAAACGCCAACAGCAATCCTAGGAGCTGTGTATTCATTGGGAGCCCGTTAGGCTCTCACGTATACATAGAGGTGGATAGTGTTTCAAGATGAACAATCAATCTTAAGAACAACTATAGTTGACTCTAGGTACAAGACGTAGTGCGAGAAAGCAAAAGAAAGGTAGCTTCCTCGCGTTCAGGGGAACCCATGTACACCATGTGGGTACCGCGCGCAGATCATATCTCAATCCGTTCCGTATGCTTCATGTAACTAACTGCTCGAAGCGCTGACTAAGATCAATGCCAAGACCAAACGTCTGAGAAAGAACCTGTGGTAGACTCTGTCGGCGAGAAAGACGTCCAAGTCGGCATTACCACACACCTTGACGAGGGTAAGGTCTTCCTGCGTCAACATGGATTCACCATGAAGACGTTCAAGGCCTATTGGACGATGAAGCACGCAACAAGCCGTGGTCCGCAGAGTAGATCTTATTCTACTCCCTTGCTTGCAGGAACCTACATGCTTCAAAACATCGACAAATCCGCACTGGCTTACTCTGCGGTGTTTGACCTCCTCAAGTCGACACACATGTCAAGCAACGAATACAGTTGGCTAGCCAGTATCTTCTATTTTGCCTACCTTGTCGCCGAATACCCTTGGACTGTCTTAGCGCAGAAGACCAACCTCGCCAAGGTCGTCTCCTGCAACATTGTCGCCTGGGGCGCTATGCTCATGATTACTGCCGCCTGTTCCGCCTTTACCGGCATGGCTATCTGCCGCTTTCTTCTTGGTGTTTTCGAAGCTCCAATAACGCCTTGCTTTATGATGATCATTGGCATGTGGTATACACGCTCCCAACAACCGTTTCGCGCTGGTGTCTTCTACAGTTGTAACGGAGTTGGTGCTATGGTCGGTGGAGTCCTCACGTTTGGTATTGGTCAAATCGAAACGATTGCCGTTTGGAGAGCTATATACCTCATTCTTGGAGGCATCACTGTTTGCTGGGGTATCGTTATGCTCTTCTTTCTCCCCGGTGACGTCCTCTCTGCAAAGCGCTTTAGTCTAGAAGACAAGGCTCTGCTCATCGGTCGTGGACGTCTTGGCCGCACTGATATTATCAACCACCAATCAAGTGGAACCAGATCCGTGAGGCCCTGGTCTATCCCCAGGTCTGGATATTGTTCTTTTTCACTCTATTTAATGAGGTCGTCAACGGTGGAATTGCCAACTTCAGCAAGCTGATCATCAAGGGCCTAACCCACGACTCACTTACTACTGTCGCTCAGGGTATTCCTTTTGGTGCTTTCCAAGTGGTCTGGGTCCTCTCAGGAACATACTTTGCATCTCGCTTTGCCAATTACCGTACAATCGTCATGTTCGCGTACCTCATCCCGACAATCGTTGGTATCGCTCTGATGTGGAAGCTGGATCATGCCACACACAAGGTCGGCGTGCTATTCAGTTATTACATCGTTGGTGCCTACGTCTGCTCCCTAGTCCTGGCGCTGCAGATGCCCGCCACAAATTTGGGTGGGTATATGAAGCGCTCCACCGGTGTTGCTTTCGTATTCTGGCCTATTGTGCTGGTAATATCATAGCGCCACACGCGTTCCTCGCGAAAGAAGCACCCATCTATCAGACCGGATGCAAAGTCCTCCTCGCATGTTCTTCTGCACAGGCTGCTTTGACTGTCTGTCTACGGTGGCTGTTGATCCTCAGAAACAAACATAGGGATGCCGCTGCAGCAGCTGCGAATGAGTCTGGGGCTCCCTTTGAAGTGGATGAGTCGGCTGATTTGACGGATTTCGAGGTTAGTAGTCAGCTTTCTGACTTGGTTTTGGATAAATTGCTAATAAATTCACAGAACCCAAACTTCCGATACGTGCTATGAGTGATAGTCGCTATTTATAAGTTTATATGTACTACAGGTTTTGCTGCCAAAGATGTGTGTATAAGCGCACGACACGGCTCGATGACTTCTCCCGCTACCACGTAAAACACTATTATCGACCCAAGTAATTAAGACGCCACTACCAAGAAGCCTTAAGAGCTGCTGCTGAAGTCGCTCTTAACAGCAGAAGTAGAGTCAAAGTCAACACTGTTAACCTTGACCCACTCGGTGTACCAGGTCAGGCCACCATCTGAGGTGGTAAAGCCATCATCATCAGTGACACCATCAAGGGCCATCGCCTGGTCGAACCTGATGTCGGCCTCGCTCAAGGTGACGGTCAGGTTATTGATGTCTATTGCATGTTAGGCCGTCGCCTCGTGAGATTCTCTGAGGAACAGAAGGGCTTACAGTAACCTGCGAGTGAGCCACAGTTTCCAGAACCGGTGTAGCACTCATTGGTGGAGTACAGGTATTGAAGGGGCGAATCGAGGGCTGAGGCTGCTAGTTAGTCGAGCGAAGCTTTCAGCGAGTCTCGATGATCCACTCACCATCGCTTTGCTTCGACACGACCTTTCCGTCCATGGTGACAGTTTGGACAACCTTTCCGTTCTCAACGGCGACTGGGCGTGAGTTAATCATTTGGATTGATGTCCCGCTGGGTGATGAACGCATGTTTAACAGAGAGAAGTAACTGACTTTCGAAATCCACTGGGGTGTTGTTTGGGACGGTCACATAGGCCTGGCAAAGTTGATCGGCTATTAGTGTAAACGATGTCCGGTCAGCTTGTTCAATGCATAATAGAGTGTATTTCACAGCATGGGTCTTCTAGATATGCTTACATGGGGTATAAGTGCTCGTTGCGACACACCACTCATCAGCAGATGCGGAACAACCCCTATATTACATGCACTGTCAGTAAAACCCCCTTTCTCTCATCCGACGGTGTTTAATCAAATTCCACGTACTGAGACTCCTGGTCTAGGGACCAGTTGAATATCGGCTGGTATAAATTGGCATTGTCGTCGCCGGCAGTCGAAGACGCGCCAACCCAGACAGAAACCCAGACTTCATCATTGGTGTTGGATGCCTTCGCGCCGGAGGGAACTGTTGGAGGGACGATAGAATAGGTCGCCTTGGTGATGGCAGAGTTTCCTGAAGGGGGACCGAGATAGAACAGACCGTTTCCAAAATACCATGTGTCGGCGTCGATGGCTATGGCCTGCATGGCGGAAACGAGAGGAACGAGTGCGTAGCTGTAACGCATTTTAAAGGATCCGAGCTCTGTTGCTGGGAGTTATGCCGACGAGGATGGACTGTAATGAATAAATCCTCATTGGTAGGCGGAGATGAAGACTTTATATGGTGACGATCACGCCAACATGGAACAAGCATTATTGCTTTATTACAAGCTTTATCAACGTGAAGCTATTAAATTTCTCTAGGGTGTTTCATCGTGATGAGGAAGACCCTAGTAAGCAGTTTAGGAAATGAAACCGAAACATTGAAGTTCTGGGTCCGCCTTCAGTTTCAGAGTTCGGCGTTGTTCTTTGCCAATCGATGGTGGTTTAGCCTTGCAAGCCTGGTAGATGGAACCTGTGGATTCGTAGTGTTCATACAGGTGCTATATTTGCGCCTCGACAGTGCCAAACCCTGTGTTTTGTCTTCTCTCGAGATGATCAGCGTCTTGAAGCTTTGGTGGACCCCTGGGCTAGGCTAGCTGCCTGGCCCTGAAGCCACACGCGATTTACAGAACTTTAATAAGGGTTTACATAGCTAAAACCGATAAGTATCTATGACAGTCCATGTTTTGGATAGGACATAAGAGGACAAAGAAAGGGATTCGAAGTCCGTAGGAATCACTTTAGCATGTTGCATCTGAATGAAATGTGAAAATAAGGAAAAGAGAACCAAAGAGGTATCAAAGGAGTTGAAATAGTCGGTTCCATGATTCACTGAGTTAATCAGGAGATCGCTCCCTGGTATTTCCTGGCCACGTCTCCTCCAAGATGATATGCGCCCGGCTTGATTGGCTGCTCACTTCCCAGTCCTGCGTAACGAGGATCTGGTCGTGGCGAAGCGAACTCATCTTATAGTTATAAGTAGTCGTGTCTCCCACGCCTTGGATCTTGAATCCGTTAGAGCGTATCCACGAAAGAAACGGGTTGAGTTGTCCCCAGCAGGCGGTCACGATACTCAGGCACTGAATGATTACTTCGAAGATGGTGACCTCGCACAGGGTATAGGTCGGGTTAGTGGTGTCCTTTTTGATGTAGGCGAGCTCGGTGATCGTGGCAACCACCACTCTAAAGAGAGGGCACGGGTGGTTAGATTCCTGGGGAACGTCTGCGATGGTTCGAGGACAGGACACTCACAGGAGTTGAGGCAAAAAGATTCCCGCAATGATTAGGCGCCTCTGCAGCGATGTTTGGACGCCGAGTTCAGGACCATCGCCTGCGCGAAGATCAACAGGTCAGTGACAATAATAGAGCCGCAGAGGAAGTAGCGCCACGCCAGCTAGATTGTATCAGCATTCGTCAGGGTTGTTCACCATTTAACTCAGAAAATCGCTCTTACAATATCCAAGCATCGGCCATTCCAGAAATCCCAGGTGCGCGGCACCTCACATTGGAAAGCAGAGCCAAAGAACACAACCACCGCCCAGACATAGATTATGCCTTTGACCACATGGGCGACGAATTTGTCTCGGGCGGACGGAGTGAGACTCCGGATGAACACCGCCAGAGAGAGTTTGGACAGAGTCAGGTTCACGATGTACAGGAGACTCGCCGTATACAGGTACTACGTCCATCGCGTTGCCAGTCAGCCTTGGAAAGAGATATACGGACGATCGACCAACCTTCATCACATCCTCAAATTGATTGTTGGAGACTTCTTTGAAAGGTTTCCCATAGCCGGATCCGACAGCAAGGTTGACCATAATACTCTGAGCGATGCCGAATGCCTGTGGTCCTCTCTTTAGTACAACGGATCATCACCCCCCATAGATCGCCTCGGGCGAACCCTACCATGGATGCCACGATCAGGACATCGTCGGCAGTCAATTTATGAAACAGCCGCCACTTCGTCCCAAGTCGGGCTGAGACACTGAGGATGATCGTGACCAGGAGGACCCATGTTGTGACATTGACTGCCGGGTCTTTGGTGTCGCCTTTGAATCGTCCACCCATCAACGCTGGATGTCAAGGAACGGATGGAGGGATGGAAGTAACAAACTTGACAGCAGTTGTAGAAAGCTAGCCAGAAAGAGCTACAGCACGGAGATTATAATATTCAAGCTTGCAGGCAGTGTCTGTAACCTGCTGTGCTCGTGGTTGCATTTTTATTTTCTTGGAGGGGCGTTTGTGTGAGATGCGGCTGTCGGGCCTGGCACGGTATCCATTTCCTTTTTCTCTCTCCTCTATTTTTTAAACTTCTCCAGCATTTTGCGCAGCTTAGCGCTAACGTGACACAAGGATGTACATCACCTCACGGGCATGTTCAAAGTTCGTGCCTCGTATATTAGTGTTAGATAGTGCAAGCTTAGTGCTGGACAAGCAAATGACTAGACCTAGGGGTAGATTATCAGTTTTTAACAGACAATTTCTCAATTGGATATTGCATTACTAATCAGTATGCATATGCCTCAATCAAATATCTTCAAGTGTCTACTACCACCTGGGAACATCGATCATTACCCAACGATATGGAGCATAGGATCCTTCAGAGCCTCGTTGACACGTTGAAATAGGAATTGTAATTGATTGGCCCGTAGAGAGTAATCGGGGCACCGACTCACGAAAGTAAGCATAGTGTCGAACTGAGGGGGTAGTATTTTACCACTAAGGACAGGGTTATTCACCAAGTACCCATTCTCTCTTTGTCTCTGTATGGTAAACGGGATACGCTCGGCATACCAGCGTCGTAACACGCTAGGAAGACTCCTGAGATCTGATAACGCTTCAACAGCAAGATCCAGATAGATACAACTACCAATGAATCTCAATGGGACACCTCAATACTAGCACATACCAGTATCTGCCAATCCGACACATAGCCCTAAGCGTTTAATACAGTAACAGGAGCTCCAATATCTAGTCGATAATGACAACTTCCAGACTCTTTAAAAGAGTATTGTACATTATAAGTACAATCAATCGCAAAAACTACGAGTAGATATCCCCGGTGCCATACATAACAGAAAGTTTCCAATACAGTAGCTCAAAATTGCACAATAGCATGAAAACGGGGTTAGCGGTCTGAATCGAGGCACTTGATGACTGTTTCCTTTTTCAGTGCTGCGTGCTGCTTAGACTTGCACATTACCTTGCTCGGAAGGCCGGACTAGGGACCCGCGTGTTTCAGCTGACGTTGTCTTTCCTCCCAGCAATTGTATATCAACTGTCAGGTCAGATATTACTACATGGGCCAACAATTTTGGCATACAAAGGAGCTCCCATCTGCGTTTCGTTTCGACGCGACTATCAAGAGATACAGAGCTCAATATTACGGGCTCAGAGGGCAGAATGCCCCGTAAAACCATTTACAATCAGTAGTAGATCTCGACACGGCCCGCGGTTTAGGCGGGGCGCCTATCATTGGCGGCGCATGGCCGGCCCGCCTCGCACTTGCAGTAGCTTGAACTTTATGGCGGTCAGCGGCCTATGAATTTTCATTCTCGATATCAGCCTCTCAGCCCAATTACGCCCATCCGCGATTCCTGGCACGGTACGGCGTATTGCCGTCTAGGACCATCGCGTTCTGTAGACTTGGGAACTGCACAGGAAACTGATGTACCGTATAAGTTACTATTCGCTGCCAAAAGAGTTTTAGGAGAAAAGCCTATTTAATAATGCACCTTCCTCAATCTGGAGCCGTCGTCCGCACATTCCAATCCTTATGTTGATATTTTTCCTTTTATGTTTTTGAATCGGCCCCACTCCTCTGTCGTCCATTTCGTTCCTTGGGTTCTCTTTTCTGTCCATCCAAACCTTGCCCGCAAAAGTTCAACGATCCATCATGGTGGCGTATGAGCTGAAAAACCGGGCCTCCGTAATCAGTCGGGGCGAAGTCCGGAGTGGCATGTCCATTCAGGACCGCGATAATGCGCATCTCCGGCGCATGGGAAAAAAGCCTGTTCTTAAGGTATGCGCGGAAGTATACCCTGTTCACGACGCAATGGAGTCCAAATCACTCACCTTTCTATCTGGTCAGCGTAACTTCGGCATTCTCTCGATCCTGGGATTCAGTTGTACTGTCCTCGGTACTTGGGAGGGTATGCTTGGGTGAGTCCGAGTCTGACAAGGAACTTGTCATGACTTGGTTAGGGGGATTGCTAACGGCTTGTCAAGGACCTTCCTGAGCCCTGTTACAAAGTGGGTGAATACCAACACGATTCTTCCGGTGCATATCGCTAACAGAACCCCAGTGGCGGCCCAGGAGGTGCGGTGTACGCCTTCATCTTCGCATGGGTTGGGACTATCTGCATTTTCGTGGTCTTGGCGGAATTAGCATCGATGTAAACATGCTTACCTTCTCACGGTCTTCTCATTCCATTACACCGAGCTAACCCTCCAACTAGGGCTCCCACTGCGGGTGGCCAATATCACTGGGCTGCCATGCTTGCCCCGACCAGATTCGAGAAATTCCTCAGCTACATCACGGGTTGGTTTACCTTAATCGGCTGGCAGTGCGGGTTTGCCTCGAGTGCCTTTCTTACCGGAACCATGATCCAAGGCACGGCGGTCCTGGCCCACTCCAAGTATGATGCCCTGCCGTGGCAGGGAACGTTGATTGTTTGGCTGGCTTTGCTGGTCGCAATGTTGGTGAATCTGGCTGGTGGAAAGCTTCTGCCCCGACTTGAAGCCGTCATCCTAGTTCTGCACGTCCTTGGATTCTTCGTCGTCATTATTCCCTTAGTGTACATGTCTGACCACGCGGCGACCCACGATGTTTTCCTGTCGTTCCAGAACGGTGGTGAATTTGCCACCCAGGGGCTGTCATGGTTTGTTGGGATGACCAGCCTAAGCTTTACGTTCGCTGGCGGCGATGCCGCGGTCCACGTAAGTGTTGAGTTGCTCGGAAGCTGTTCTATGCTCGTAGCTAACCATCTTCGAGCTAGATGGCCGAGGAGATCGGAAATGCGGCGCGCATCGTCCCCCAGGCTCTCATGCTGAGTGTCGGTATCAACGGCTGCCTGGGGTTCGGCATGTTGATTGCCATTCTCTTCAGCGCCGGCGACCTGAAGTCCGAGCTGCAGTCACCCACGGGATACCCGTTCATGGCGATCTTCTTCCAAGCAACTAATTCGCTGCCGTGGACTTTGGCCATGATTTCGATTGTCCTGATCATTTACTGCTGCTCGATGATGGGGCTGCTGGCCGCCGCGTCCCGTCAGCTCTGGTCCTTCGCCCGAGACAGGGGTGTCCCTGGATGGATTTGGTGGAGCAAAGTAAGCAAATAACAATGGTGCTGTCTGCACAAGTCGTTCACTCAACTCATCGTCATCGTCTTTAGGTCTCTCCAACCAATCAGTTACCGATCTATGCTGTCATGGTTTCCGTCGCCATCTCTACTCTCCTGGCCCTTATCAACATTGGCTCCAGTGTGGCTCTAGGAGACATCCTGTCTATGGCCGTTTCTGGCCTGTACCTGTCATACCTCGTGATTTCTGCCCTCCTTCTCTTCCGCCGCGTCCGGGGAGACATTAACCTCTACAACGACAACGAGGACGACATTATCAATGTGCCTGGTTCGAAGCTGGTCTGGGGAACATTCCGTTGCCCTGGTGTCTTTGGTACTTTGGTGAATCTCTTTGCCGTCATCTATACCACTATTATCATTTTTTTCAGCTTCTGGCCCTCGAAAATGAACCCCAGGCTCGATGACATGAACTATAGCGTCGTCGGTATCGGCGGCTGTACCGTTCTTGCCACGCTGTATTACTTTATGCGCGCCCGCAAGATCTACACTGGTCCTATTGTGGAGACTCCAGACATGTTGATGTAACGCTTCCCAGGTGGCGTTGAGGGCTCAATGGATAAGTCTGAGTACATAGATCTCTATCACACGGGGGGTGCTGCAGACTAGTAAATTTCAGCTAGGTTTTTTCGTCAAACCAAAGGGGTCAAGAATGGTACGGGAAAACAAGATTAAATACGAAGAGTGGATATAGATACACGTGACATTTTTGCTTAAATGCGGCAGGAAAAGTGGGTCGGCCGATAGACTGCAGGTGAAGTTCGCCACTAGACTGCCAAGGTCTAGTGGTCTCCGATTAAGCTCAAATTTTAGTAAGTCATAATAGACCGGTTAGAAAATCCGCTATTCGCTGCGGAGTATGCACAGCCTAGTAGTTATCGAGAAAAAGGCGATTGAAATTGGAAATGTTTTGATCGAGTGTGGGAACTGGGCCAGTTAAGGTTGCGACGGGGCCTGAGGCTTCACTCCAGGGTTTCGGACGAATTGAGTGAACCCAGCCGTACCATCGGAATTAACCCCGAGGTGTCCATACAAAGAAACAAGTTGATTTCCAATCAACTTGATATTCTCTTTGTGTATATATAGCCCCAGTTATTCCCTCTGGTACTCGGGCCCTTCCGATGCTTAGCTAAGCTAGTCGCCCCAGACACCTTCGGTGTTGGGGCTCCGGCTTTAGACCATACTTTCGGGCCCTATTTTGGTGCCTAACCATACTTTTCACCCACCTCGTAAAACGTCAATTTTCGTAGCATTTCTGTATAGCAAATTACTGCCATAAATATTGCATTCAAAAGAGCATTGCCTCAGCTATTTAATGTAAGTAAATCTGTCGGGATATATCCTTCTATCTGAACAAGCTAGCGGTAACTTACTGCTGGCGACTGCCGGATATCATCCCTTGCTTGGTGAACGCATTCTTGCACCAGGCTGCGGCCCCCGTGTTGTGACCGCCGAGGGCCGGCGTGTAGGATCCAGGGGTGTTTCCCAACTAGACTGAGGAGATAGATCTATCTACATGAATCAATCAACTTTCGCTTTAGGAGCATAAACACTGTTCACTTAACTGTGTACACGGTACCTAGCTGGTGATACCAACAAAATCAGAATGCAATACATATTATATTGGTAGGATCTTCGCAGTATTCCTCATCATGCATTTCTCAGCCATTTCTCTCTCGTTTTTCTCCAGTTTTATCTCCAATTTTATCTCCACTTTCCTCGCTTTCTCGGTGGACTCGATTTAGGCATTGGCAGCGGTGGCATCGGTGGCGGCGGCGCCGGCGTATTTAGGCTGGCATTCACCCTCGCAAGAAGCTCTGCTGGCATAGGGTTCTTAGCCGCTTTCCTACCTAGCGATATCGCCTTCTTCTCAGCCTGATCTCTCTCTCTTTGCTCTCGCTTGCGTATATCCTTATTTGCATCGCCTTTTGTGAGTGGTCCAACTATCCTGATCTGCCGGCCAGAGGGCCTCGTCGTCCGATTGTGGGTATGGGTAAGAAGAAGCTGATTGTCGGCACGGAACTGGGCAAGGCTCTCCGTCGAATTTCCTATACTAAAGGTTAGATACACGTAAAATAACGGCGAGGAAGCGAGAAACCTACCTGCAGTACTACAAATAAGCGTAGACCGGTGCAAAAATCTCTCCACGATAGATAGGAAGCTCTTTAGACGACGTCTCTCTCCGTCCTCGCGATGATTTCTCTCCTTAGCACTCTCATTATTCTTCTTCCTTATTGACGTGGCCGTCCGCTTAAGGGTAGCTAGACGGCGTCGAGCAGTGGCGATACCATTGAGGAGGTTCTGAGACGTCGATTTCGTGTCTAGTACGTCTCACGGCGGTGACATAGTGATAGAGCTAGCTAGCTCGCAGCCTTGAGCTTCAACTCCGTCTCCATATCTATCAGGAAAGCCGTCTACCCATATATCATTAGTCTCATCATTAGCATCTCTGGTCTCTTGCTCCATGGCTAATTGCGCATCAATAGGGACGATTCCAGCAAGGCGAAAACCTTCCTTAATGACGTGCTCCGAGAGAGCATCCATCATCTCTCGAACCTTAACGATTTCGCGAAAAAAATCTACTTTCCGGGATACCGAGCCACCCCGTTGGGCAAGCTCGACATTATTTCTCCGATATAGCGCTTTATACCGTTGAAATGGAACCGAATCGAGGGGCTGGCATATATGGGAGACATGCGGCCGGAAGGCGTACGGAACAATGCGATTTTCCCAGCATTTTAGGATAAATTCAGGCGTACAGTGAGACTTATGGCCATCGAAAAGAAGAAGGCGATAACCTCGGCAGTGTACGCGGTCTGCTTCTTCGCGTATCGCTTTTATCTCTCGGCGAATAGCTGCATCTTGGCCGTATCGACGGCGACCGCCATGGCCACGAGCTTCCGCTATCTCATCATCACTTTCGGCGTATTTATGGCGATAGACTCGGTGGTTTGTGGCCTCGATAAATGAGTCTAGCCATTCTAATGCTGTGGTATGAGACGAATAGCCCTTTGGTGTCGGTTTTATCGTCCAATCATCAGGCATTTCGTCAATATACCAGCTTTCCTGGTGATACTGAGCTTTCACTAGAAACCACGGCGGCGTCTTCCAACCATCGGCAGCAATGCATTCAATAGCGGTAATACTCTCGCCATGGCCCCCGGTTGCAGTGAAGCTAATAGGTGAAGCAGATACCACTTTTTGAGCCTTTCCTTCGCCGATTCGGAAGCCGGTTTCATCCATGTTATAGATGTCCTTTGGTCGAAACCCATACTGCTTAATACACTGCTCTTGGCGGTCATACCACATCTCCGTAAGACCTACGTCCTCGGCGCCCATTCGCTTCGGGTCCTTCGGCTTCTGCTTAATAAAATGGAGGTGGGGCGTAAGCTTTGGCAGTCGCTTAGTGAATGCGAGGCCCCAGCCATGCCAAAGAGGCTTCCTGTCCGGGTTTGATCGATGAATAATGTCATCGGCGCGCTGCTGTATCGATGCTGCCGTCGGGGGGGGCGCCGCAGCTATCCATAAAGATAATCCAGTCAAGCAATGCTTTTTCTTGGACCGAGTCCAATGCCTTATTGGTGGCAGGTCGGCCAATTGCTGACCCGGCACCCCGAATACGGCCTAGCAGGGTCTGGTAACTAACGTCGAATTCCCTTGCCAATGGTTTGATCTTCGGCTCATTACGGTCATGGTAAGCGGCCAATGCATTGGCGATTTTGAGCTCATTTTCATCCGACATGATAGCGAGAAGTGGTCGAAAAATGAGCTATTTCATGGAGATATTAGCGGGAAAACGTCATGCTAAGGCCAATATTAGATGCATTGCGTTCTGATTTGCTTACATTAAATAGCTCAGGCAATGCCCTTTTGAATGCAATATTTATGGCAGTAATTTGCTTTACAAAAATGCTACGAAAATTGACGTTTTACGAGGTGGGTGAAAAGTATGTTTAGGCACCAAAATAGGGCCCGAAAGTATGGTCTAAAGCCGGAGCCCCAACACCGAAGGTGTCTGGGGCGACTAGCTTAGCTAAGCATTGGAAGGGCCCGAGTACAATGAACAATCAATCTTCCTTTGAACAACAACAAGAACACTTATATTTATGGTTATGTCAAAGAATTGTTTTTCCCGGTTGCCGTAAATACCTCGAACCTATTGCTTATTTACAATAAATAATCATCCTCGGGGGCTATACCTACCTTACCGCCACCACATGTTTTTCTTCACCCCGTGGTGCTGGTGTAGACTTTCTTTGTTTACAAACCAAACGACCTATAAGGCTGTGAATTTATCTTGTAGACAGTTTCAAGAGCTAGACCAACCCCATGGCTTTGACTGACGAGCAACTTCGAGCTATCTCAATGGCAGAAAGAGTGGGAGGTAGCTCTTCTCTGCTGGGCTGTACGTTTATTGTAACGACTTATTGTGCATCTAACGCTTTTCGCAAGCCGGTCAACAGACTAATCTTCTATGCATCGTTTGGAAATGCTTTCTCCGCCATTGCGTCGCTGATGAGCAGGGATGGAGTTACAGAGGGCCGGAATTCTGCCTTATGTTTCGCACAAGCATTCTTCATCCAATAGTATGTTCCTGACCCTCTAGGCCACGTTTGCAGACTCTAATTTTTGTGACTGAAGTTGGATGTCAACGGACTCGTTATGGTCACTTTGTATGGCGGTTAATATATATCTTCTATTCTAACCATTGCTACACTGGCACAAATGGAGACGGATGAGATATTTTGGCCCGCACGGGGCACCTGCGGTTTGAACACTGGCGATGTAGGCCTCGTTGACGGAGGGCTACAGCGCCGTGAGGGCTGCAGGCGGGCCCGTGGCACTCCGTATATTCTAGGAGGAAAACTAGCTACGCGGGAGCATACGTGGTATATACATGAGGGGGACCGCGGTGGGCGTGAAGAAACCGTCGTGGAGAGAGCCCGGCTCTCCCTCGAAACGGCGATGTTCTTTTTGAGGGAGGGGAAGGCCAGGTGATATTTGTGTGCGATGTCCTGCACGGGATATCGTGGGCCTGACGCAAGGGGCTCTCACGCAACAGTCCCGAATAGAACCTATCATTTCACCAACCGGCGGTGAGCAAAAAAAACACGGACATGGATTCATCTTAGTGGAGCCGTGTTGCGCGAAGGCGGGGATTGTTGGCGAAAAAGCCACAGGCGAGAGAACTGACAAAGACGAAGTCGTTTGCTTGTTAACTCACTCTGGAAATCAATATGTTGACCCTGAGAACCTCAAAAGCATTTCTAGAAGCTGTCTATCCCCTAGGAGCCACAATTTAGCTCCTAGGGCTATTTCTAATCTCTGTGAGGGTCTCACGTATACATAGAGGTGCGTAGTGTTTCAAGATGAACAATCAGTATTGAGAACAACTATAGTTGACTCTAGATACAAGATGTAGCACGAGGAAGCAAAAAAAGAAGGCTTCCTCGCGTTCAGGGGGAACCCATGTACACCATGTGGGTCCCGCGCGGATCATATCTCCATCCGTTCCGCATGCTTCATCTATATCCCTGACAAGCTACATCGGGTTTCCTGGGGCCTACGTGGCTCCTAGAAGCAAGCTGCTTCTTTGCTCCCAAAAACGTTTCTGGGGCCCCCGGGAGCAAGAAAACTCCTAGGATTAAGAGATGAATTCCTAGCACCGATGCAACGATCAACAGGAGCGTGACCGATTATTGATAATGAGATGAGATGTCCATGTTCTTATTTGGGTACAGTTATGGATATCTATTTGCTGTTTATACAGACAGAGACGGAAAATGCGCATAAGCAAAGAAAATCTCCCTTTTCCCAGATTTCAGCCGTGAAGGACTTCAAGCCCAAGGGAATTGATATCATACGCATCAAGCCTAGTTACTGGATTTAGTTTCCCTGATTTCTGGAGGCAGTAATGAGATGGAACCTCATTTCGAAACAGAAGCAAAACTCCGTCAAAGAATCAGGGTAAGGATGACGGCAGAAATATGACTCCTCGTAGATGGGACCGTTGAATTTATACCTATTCTGCAATTTCTGACAGAGCCCACGCAGCCCACGTTGTTTCCCTCGGCTTAGGTTATAACTAGCGGGTGTTAGACTTCGGTTAGTGTAGTGGTTTGGAGGCGCATTTTGCCCTCCAAACTATTGTACCCATCCAGAGGAGGGAGTGAGACACGGGCAAGCGAGATACCAAGTAACACAATGGCAAATGCGATAAATTACAACTCCGTGCCTCAATAGCCGTGACTCTTTTGGACACGATATTGAGCCTGTAATAATCTAGATAGCATTTCTAACCTACTGGTGCAGTAGAGAAAAGTTACCATGAGCAGCCATGGAGGTATATATTTATGTCTTAAACGTCAAAATCATTTTGTATTTTATGTTAAAGTGTCAAAATAATAGTCCGAAATTGGGTTTCGATCGTTCCTCCCCTCCGCATGCTCTTTGAACACTTTCGGTGGGTCCACTGAGAGCGATTCCTCAAGATGGAGACGAGACGGGCTGACCCTCTGCGTACTAATCTTTCTCGCGCAAATGCTCAGACTAAATAAACCTTGTAATTAACAAGGTTTGGTTGGCAGCGGCCCATCCGGTGAGCCCACTTGCGGACAACCCAACAGCAGGCCTCGACCACGTTTGTTATTAGGTTGCTGTGACACCTGAAGTAACTTATGCTCGTAGTTATTCAAGGGAGGAGCTTTTACAATTACATCTGGTTACCGTTGTTGAAATCATTTTATAGCAGACTGTAGCGGTCTGAATTCTCAAGAACTACTACGGCTAAAATAGGTCCGAAGTTTAGGCACATTCCGCTGCGTATGACCTAATAAGCTGCCCAGGGCCAGCAGCGGGGCAGTAAACATTGCCCACACCCCCGGGGCAACCTGTGCATGTCTGCGTACCAGCACCATCCATGTCAGTTCCACGCCCCGGACAGTTTACGCACAACCCGCTGTCCTGAACATTGTATACACAATTGGTGCAGTCCTTTGCTGCAAGGGCTGAAAGTGACAGTCCCAAAAAAAGGGCGATTGAGGTCATCAGTCTCATAACGGCAACCTAGTAATCAGTTAGAACCTTTATTTATTGAGGTAAAGTCCTCAGTCCTACCTTAGAGCAAGGTAGAAATATCAGCTAAGGTATAGGCGGTCGCAGGATGAGACGTTAACAGAGATAAGTCACTTGAAAAAGTATGTTAGTCTGAATGGTGCTTCATATTTCGAAGGCAAGAAGTCCGAAATTTAGGGATACTCACAATACGTTCGTGAAAGCTCAAAGCTATTCTAAAATAACACGAACCAGAGAAGCAGTATGTGTCCGATTTGGTTAGGAGACCTGATTATATAGGGGCGAGGGTACCTACTTCGCTTATTTTTCTTCACCAGTCCCAATTTCTCATGTCTCACAATAGGAAGAAATGATTCCCAGTTGAAATCTAGATTAAAATTTGACTCCCTAAGCAGTACGCTATTCACTCCTTTCCAATGCCCCGGTATCAAGATAAAACTCTCGGTAGTGGGTCCTAAATTGAATATTTGGAGGGTCAAATGCGCTTTAAAACAGCAAGCTTGGTTAATGGTCTCTATCACCGAGTTGACGCCACAACGTTGCGTCGAAGATCTAGGCGATCTGTGCGCAAGACAAAACCGTCGAGCTACTATTATCGAAGAAATACCAACGTAGACGGATTCTTTAGAGTCAATTGCATAGAATTGAAGACTCATTTTCTAAAACTTGCGCAGTTCTACAGTAGGGTGCATTACCGTGGTGGGCTCCGTCATTGGGGGTGCAACTATACTGGGTGAAGTCTGCGCCCCGTTTAACAAAAGCAAGTGTTGGAGCAAGCTGAGACAGTGGGCTAGTAATCCTATGACGGACAAGGGCGAGGATGAGGGCAAGCGGAACCAATTTTGGATGCAAAGGTTGATTGATTGAAGAAAGAATGAATATCATGGAGCAGGTCGAAATTCATGGATGGCTCAGGTACACGGTGTTACGACAACCGTAATATCAGGAAAAGCGAATTACTCGATAGCAAAATACAAGGCGCCTGCGTTTTATCGAAGAGAGCAACGATACACATACAATAGACACATCAGCACATGACTGATGCACAGAGTCGACTGAGAGAATGGCCGAGACGATCTGAACATTACTTTGGCTCATCATCGATGCCACCAGTAGTTATGTGGAAATGATAGACAGCATGCGATCGCATCGGTATAGGGGAGCTCAAGCAGACAAGACATTTGCTCGCTTCGCATTCTACTCGAGTGACGGGAATATGAGGGGCCTCCTGTTGTACGTCCGAGTCGGCAAGGCTTACCACTTGGACGAGTTGTTATGACTCACCTGTTCATAGATGTTCGCTTGAGACAAGACGATCAATTAGCTTCGTGGCCATATCTTACCGACGAGATCACTTACAATTGTCTTCATCAATGCAGTCACCATTCATGCCAATTGACATGATGTTGTATCCAGTTCGTCGCACTCTCCGGCTGTCGCTTCGGATAAGCCGCGCTCGGTGCACCGGGCAATTTCTGAGCCCCAAGCGCACGTGACGAACCCACCTGTGACAAGAAATTGTACAGTCGTAATGGGACAAGACCTCGCGATGGGTACGGCGAGAGGTTCATACACCCCGCCGTTCACGGTGTGAGGGCGGTGAGGTTGAGGCGGAAGACGCGATGGATCACGCGTCGTAGTGACGCCTTGGTCTTATCTCCGATGCGG